CCACCACAGGGTTGTGTGACCTCCTTGCGGGAGCTTCATTTTTCTATTCCGAAGAATTCATCCAGAATACCAGCAGCACATATGTGGGAGCCCCGGTCATACAAGAACTATTTTCCTATTTTTTTTCCAGTTCAGGCCTCAGTGATGAGTAACTTTTTTTTTTTTTTTTTTTTTTTTTGTCTTGTTTGTTTTTTTGAGACAGGGTAGTTCCAGCTGGTCTGGACTCACTATGTAGCCCAATCTGGCCTCAAAACTCTTGGTAACCCTCCTGCCTCAGCCTCCAAAGTGCTAGGATTACAGGGGCACACAGCTACTTTCAGTTGTCAGTGATTGGTGGGGGGAAGGGTTGCAACAGTTTCCTAACAAGGATCTTTTTTCCCTCTTGTTTCTAGAGCATTGATATTCACTTAAAAAAAGACACCCGGAGAGGAGTTGTCAATAACCAGCAGACGGACTGGTCCTTCAGGTTGGATGGAGTTCTTCATGACGCCTCCCAGGACCTGGTTTATGAGACAGTCGCAAAGGATGTGGTTTCTCAGGCCCTGGATGGCTACAATGGTAATTTAGCTAATTAGCTGTTATCTTTTCTAAGAGCCCGGGCAGCCCTTCCTGGAGGAAGAGGTACAAGGATCCTGTGGTGAATAAAATAAAATATAACCTCACTAGCATTTGTATGCTTATTTGTCTCCATGTTATTATGGTAGAAATCTTTTTTTTTTTTTTTTCAGAACCAGGGATTGAACTCAGGCCCCTGCACTTGCCAGGCAAGCGCTTATCCCACCGAGCCATCTCCCCGGCCCCTATGGTAGAAATCTTATTGCTCCTTGGTGAGGTGGTAAACATGGCAGGATCTATACCCTGGGACCTCCCTTCCTAGGATAATTAAGAGACTCTGACTTGATCTAGTTACAGCAACACGTGGCTCAGTCCCTGCAGGAGAATGAGACAGGAGGATCACAGATTTTCCAGTCTAGTAAAATTTAGTGAGATTCTGTCTCAAAATAAAAAGTGAGGAACTGGTGGCACATGCCTGGAATCCCAGCACTTGGTAGTCGAGACAAGAGGATCACTGCGAGTTTGTGGCTGGCCTGGGGGTTACAAAATGAGCACAAGGCCAGCCTGAACTGTGTAGTGAGACCCCATCTCAAGAAGAATAGAGCTTAACAGCCTAGGTTGTATAGTAATAACAATAAGCTTGTCTTCTGGATGGTTAACAACCTAAGTTTGCAGACCAAAATTAGAGAAAAAGGAGGGCTGCAAGGAATAGGAATCCTAGCCTTCCAAGGTCAATTAAGACTCGGGACATATGAGAACTTGTACTGTAACGTCATGTAACTCGGTAGTGTCCCAAATTTTCTGATCAAGGAGATTATGGGGCCAAAGAGGAAAGTGATCCATGATGTAGAGTGTGCCTAAGGAGAGTCACATGGAAGGAAAATATTCTCTCAGGCTTTCACAGAGAGCACATTGGCCAAGCAATGGCCATGACTCATCCACATGGCTGACACTGACAAAGGTTCTACAATCTGAGGTACAGGATCTCAGGATAAATCCTGAGGGGATTTCACTGACCTCATCAGACCCGAAAGCTACAACTCTTGTTGCATAGGTCCTGCTTTCCCTTGGTCTTAACCATCCAGCAGAAAAGTATAAAAATGAAGTATAAGAAGTAAAGCCATGCTGTTATGTTGAGCTGTGGGGGACTCAGGTCAATAATTTCTGACATTGCCAGTGAAGCAGAAGACCCAATACTATTATGGACTACTGAACTTTTTTAGAATATTTTGCTGAGTTTATACACCTATAATATTTAAATGATGGAACTTAACAAAAAAAGGAGATACAGATGAATGTCCATTTTGTATCTGTGTATTCAAAGTGGTTAGGATAGATATATAGTTGCATTCTGTTAATGAATAGAATGATTTATTCTAATGGTGTTTGTAAATAGGATCTCAAGTCCGCATCTTGTACAGCAATTAACCACTAGGAAGAATGTATGCAATGTGTTAATTATTGAAACTGTCCTACCAATTTGGTTTGAAACTGTCTCATTGCTATTTGTTTCTCAATAAAATTATGAAAAAAAGAATAAAAGTAAATGAATAAATGAAATAAAAATAAAAACAAGAATAAAAAGTGACCAGGAGTGTAGGTCGGCAGTAGAGCACCTGCTTAATGCGCCCAAGGCCCCCGGTGCAGTGCTCAGCACAGAGGAAAAAACAAGGATCTGATTTTTATAGACCTCAGAGGTTCAACTATTACCCTGTTTCAGATTTGTCAAATATTGGTTGTTTTTGTACCAAGAATCAAAGTCACAATCTGTGCCACTGAGCTATATCCCTGGCTCAAATACTAGTTTTGAAGGTATGTCCTTGTGGTAAAGTCGGTGAAGTTCACCTCGGTCTCTGTGCGCTGCCTGCTGAGGAGCCGTGTGCATTTATTCTACCACACAGCCAGTGTGCCGTTCATGTTCCGGAGCAGGGTTATTTACACTGTCACTAAACACTTGGGCAGTGTTTTTCTAACACATGTCTGAAAAGCTTGCTTGCTTATGTTTCTTTCTTTATTTTGTGGCCCTGGGGATTAAACCTGGTGCCTTCACACTGAGCTATGTTCTAACCCTTTTTTAATTTTATTTTTTCATTTATTTATTTATTAAAAACAGGGTCCTGCCTCCAGCCTTACCATCCCAATCTTGTCTGAGACAAGGACTTACTGTGTAGTACAGGCTGGCCTTGACTTCACAGTGATCCTCTTGCCTCAGCCTCCTGAATGCTAGAATTACAGGTGTGCGCCACTACACCTGGCTTTATTTTTTCCTTTTGAGACAGGGTCTTGGCTAAACTGTTAAAATTGCCTAGGCTGGGCTCAAACTGTGATTCTCTGGCCTCAACTCGCAGAATGCTAGGATTCTGGGTGTGTGCCACCAGGCCCAGTGGAGGGGGTGGGGTGGATTTGTATTGAGAAAGTTTTCCAAGTTTGGAAATGCTAAGATTATTTTAAAATCTTTTAAAAATGGGCCTGGGATGTTAGAGCACACGCAGGACATCTAGGTTCTGTCCCCAGACTGCAAAACAACAACAATAACAACAAAAACCAAACAAATACTCCTTTAAAAAATATAAGATGGGGGTGCTGGAGAGATGGCTCAGTGGTCTAAAGCACCTACTTAGAACAAGCTTAGCAAAGCACAGGGACCGCGGTTCAATCCCCCAGCACCACATGCCAGCCAGGGCCGCCCCCTGGTGGGCTGAGCTGTCCCCCCCACACATATAAATAAAAATTTTTTAAAAATAAAATAAAAGATATAAGATAGGGGCCCAGGATATATTCTAGTCAGAAGGAACATTCTAGTCAGAAGCCACCAGATGGCAAGGTGGACAAATTGTGACTTTTAAAACATTTTTCTATTTATTCTTATTTTTGTTTTTGATAGAGTCTTGCTATGTAATTGAGGCTAGTCTTGAACTTTTACATAAGCCAGGCAGACCTCAAACTCATGATGATACTCCTGTCTCAGCTTCCCAAATGGTGGGATTTACAGGTGTGTACCACCATGCCCAGTTTATATCTTATTTATTTTGGCACCAGGAATTGAACTCAGAACCTCATGCTTGCCAGGCAGGTGCTATGCCACTGAGCTGTATTCCCAGGCACTGTGGACCATTCCTACTGGAGTTCACAAGACCCTAAAATGTGTGGCTCCAGGAAGTGGTGACAGAGGAACTAGGCTTCATGCTGTGCAACCACAAAGGGCTCAGTGTCCCCGCTGGGGTGACCCTTCCTGCTTGTCTACATTGGGGGACTCACTGGTCCCTGGCTCCAACTCGTTCTGGGTCCCCAGAAGGAGATTTCCCCTGGAGTGAACAGTGACTCCCACACCCCCACATTGCCCTGGAAGGTCCCCTGTATCGGTACCAGGAAGCTGCCTTTGGGAGGGGTCTAGCTCCAGAAGCAGGTGGGAGCTTGGTGACTTGGGACCCTGGTGGACAGTCGAACCAAAGCATAGCAGAAGCACAAATGAAAGCCTCCCGGGGGCTCAGGGGGACCAGATCAGGGCCAATCATGGTGGCCCATTTCTAGAAGTGGCACGGGACCCACTGGGAGCCGCCCTGCATGGTCTTAGGCACTGTGTCCTTGCTACAGCAGGAAGTGCCATTCTCACTCCATCTCTCCTCCAGCCTGCAGAGCCCGCCTGCCGGGGGGGGGGGGGCAGCATCAACCTTGATGCCTCCTGCCAGCCCCAAGACCCAGGCAGTTACCGGTCTTGCTGGAGAAGGGCTGGAGTCTGATGCCTGTGTCCTCCTATTGTCTGTCCCCTGAGAGTCCTATGCTCAGAAGCCCCAGGACCAGATCATCCTTGGTCTGGGGAGCAGGAGAGCAGGGGGCGGATTCAAGGCAGCTGTCCGTGCCTTGACTCTTCCTGTTCCCTGTTGGCCATCATGTCTTGGTCCTGGCTGGTTCCTGCTCTCCTGGGGGATCACAGAACTGTCCTTAGAATGATTTTTCTGGATTTCACTGAAATATGTTTTGAAATGTTCACAGGCACCATCATGTGCTATGGGCAGACGGGAGCTGGCAAGACATATACCATGACAGGGACAACTGAGAATTACAAGCACCGGGGGATCCTGCCTCGCGCCCTGCAGCAGGTAGAGCGAGCCCACGGGGCAGGGGTCACCCAGGTCCCCTTTGTCATGCAGGCTGCAACCCCACACCGGCCACTGCTAATGGGCTAATATTATCACTTAGTTATTGCAGACTAATCAGGTCTGCAATCTCCCAAATAAGTGAATGGCAAAGGCTTAAATAAAGGAGGCAAGTGGTATGATTTTAGGGCTCCAGGAGATTGGAAACCCTGTAACAGAGTTTGAGATTCTCTGGGGGCTAAGACAAAGAATTTCTCTTGGCAACACATATGTATTGGTTTTTTAAAAAAAAAGGGAGGGGGAACATACTAAAGAAAATTTGGGAATCTGAGAGGAATCTAGTAGAACTGTGGAAGATATTTTCCCAAGCAGTAAAGTAAGTCAGTCAGAACTGCCTTATCTTTATTTAGGTTGACATTCATTGTAGGAGTGTAGAGCCTGCAGCTGTAGTCTCCTTATAGTTAATTGAGGCCACAGCCACACATCCTCAGTGTGGCCTTATCTTGTCCTTTGAGGTGTCCCAGCTTCACAGGCGAATACAGGCCTCCGTGGGACCGGTGACTCCCAGAGGTTCACTTACCGTGAGTCCACCGCCCATCTCCAGACAAGGGGCCCGGGCCTTAGGCAGGCTCGCAGGTGAACGTGGCAAGTCAGTTGGTTCACTCGGGTCCTGCTCAGAGCCACTTCACAGTGGTCTCCACTGCACTGCAGGCCATGTGTCCAGCCCTCAAGAGAGCTGTGGCCAGGGCCAGGACCAGGGCCCTAGGCAGGACGCATGGCTGGGGTGGGCTGGGAGGAGGCCTACGAAACTAGGGGTTCAGGCTTCAGACTGCCTAAACCCCCTGTTAGCCTTTTCCTCATTTTTGAAAAAGAGGGCAGAGCAGCCAATCAGCCTGCTGCTGCCCTGGTGGTCTGTAAACCTGTAATTAAGGGGCTAGAAGTCGCAGAGGTGTTCCTTCCTGGTTTTACCAGTGGAATGTGGGCCCCCTCTGAGCTCCCTGGCTGTAGTGTGTGAAAGGTAGGCCTGCTCTGGCTTCTTTCACTCTACTCCCCCTGAAAGAGCAAGGCAAGGGGTGTATGGTGGCAATATCTGTGATCCCAGCACTCTGGGAGGCTGAGGCAGGAGGACCAAGAGTTCAAACCCAGCCTGAGCAATTTAGTGAGTTAGCAAGACACTGTTTTAAAAATTTAAAAATTAATTAGCTCCATGTACAGGGCCTGGGTTTAACCCCAGACATGCAAAATAAATGAATAAATATAATGAGAGAGCAAAGGCCAGAAAGCAGGGCATGACCTGAGCTCTAGGGCCATGTCCGCCGCGGTCTGGGAAGTATGACTGGAGACCATAGATCACGTGCCGAGATGTGTGAGGAATCTGCTTGGAAGTAGGTAGCAAACTGCCTTTGCCTGAAAGTATCTGTGGTTTTGACAACCTTGGTGTATAAGAAGTGTGGACAGGCTGGTGAGATAGCTCAGTGGACTAAGCACCTGCTTAGGCAAGTGCAGGGACCAGGGTTCGATCCCCTGCACCACATGCCGCGCTGGCCCTGCTCCCCCTGGTGGCACATGCCTATAGTCCCAGCTCTGGGGTGGCTGAAAACAGGAAGATCACTAAAAGTCCAAGCTGCACAGTGAGACCTTGTCCCAAATACATAAAAAAAGTGTGAACATTCTCCTAGTAAGGGTTTTGTTTTTGTTTTTCCTCTGAATGCCTTCAGGGCAGGTTTGGCTGCCTTGAGTTGTGGGGATCGAACACCAGCAACCTGAGCCTGACTGCTTTGGTGAAGCAGCCACTTAAAGGACTGAGCTAAGGGGCAGGCGCCCCCCCATTCTCCTAGTATACCCACCATCCATGTTCTAGTTTCTGAAGCAAAGGTGATAATTTTAGTATCTCAGCATCTTTGACTTTTAATAGTTTAGCTCTATGCCACCTACTGAATTATCAAGTGAACTGCATATACAAAACTGAGTTTTCTAGTAGCCACAATTTAAAAAGTAAAATAAAAGGTGAAATTAATTTTAACACTGTAAACTGGGCAGGGTGGCGCATGCACACCTGTAATCCCAGCACTGGGGAGGCTGAGACAAGAGGATCACCACGAGATCCCGGCCAGCCTGGACTACACAGTGAATTCAAGGCCAGCCTGAACCACATGACAAGAGCCTGACTAAAAAAAAAAAAAAAAAAATTTGACTAAAGCGTCTGCTTAGGCAAAGCACAAGGACTGGGGTCCGATCCCTGGCACCACCCCAGGGGTGCACCCAGATGGTGATTGAAACTGGGCATGGTGGTATGCGCCTGTAATCCCAGCACTTGGGAAGCTGAAAACAGGAGGATCACTGTGAGTCCAATCTGTGTATTGAGATCCTGTAGTCCCTGTATTAAATACATAAAAAATAATAAAATTACCTCTAAAAATTATGATAATTGGGCCGGGGAGATGGCTCAGTAGGATAAGTGCTTCCCTGGCAAGCGCAAGGGTCTGAGTTCCATCCCCGGTTCCACAAAAAAAAAAAAAGATAATTAATAGCACCCAATGAAGTAATAAAAGTAATCGTAGTTGATGATGAGCCTCATGCCAGCCTGACTGCAAATTCCCAGACAGCAAGACCTGCCTTATACTTCTGCGCCCCCCGCCCCCAGCGTCCGAAGGCCCTGGCACTCAGGCCTGCTCAGCCCTGCATGGTGACCACTGCCCCTCCCACTCAGGTCTTCAGGCTGATCCAGGAGCGCCCCACGCATGCCATCACAGTGCGCGTCTCCTACCTGGAAATCTACAACGAGAGCTTATTTGATCTCCTGTCCACTCTGCCCTACGTTGGAGCCTCTGTCACGCCAATGACAATTGTGGAAAACCCAGAGGGGATCTTCATTAAGGGACTCTCTGTACACCTCACCAGCCAGGAGGAGGACGCGTTCAGCCTCCTCTTTGAGGTGAGATGATAGAGTAAAGGCTTCCTGGCCTGGGCTAGCCTGGGTTCCCTTTTTCTTCCCTGACCTTCCCTTATCCTTCCTTAGGATCCTACTTTAATTATCAGAAAGAAGGTTCACATGTGCTCATCTAGTATTCAGTAAGAACTCAAAGGCAGGGGGCTGGTGAGATGGCTCAGTGGTCTAAAGCACCTATTTAGAACAAGCTTAGCAAAGGACAGGGACCACGGTTCCATCCCCAGCGCCACATGCCAGCCAGCCCCGCCCCCTGGTGGGCTGAGCTGGCCACACACACATCATAAATAAATAAAATTTAAAAAATTTTTAGGCATGGTGGCGCATGTCTGTAATCCCAGAATTTGGGAGGCTGAGGCAGGAGGAGCCCTATGAGTTTTAAGACAAGCCTGAACTACATAGTAAGACCCTGTCTCAAAAACAAAAATTAAAAAACAAACAAATAAGGTCAAGCTCAGTAGCACAGCACCTGCCTGACAAGCACAAGGTCATGAGTTGGATTGCTGGTACCAAACAAACAAATTAAAAGAACTTTTGGAAGTGAAAAAATATACCTATAATTAAAGAAAAGATTAGAACATATTGGGTGTGCTGCAAGAACATATTGGGTATAGCAATAAGACAAGAATGTCCCAGGGCTGGTAAGATAGCTTAGGCAAGCACAGGGACCGCGGTTCCATCCCCGGCACCACATATGCGCCAGCCCCACCCCTGGGCTCACTGAGCTGGTCACCGACACTGGGCACAGTGCCACATGCCTATAGTCCCAGCACTTGGGAGGCTGACGCAGGAGGATCGTGGTAAGTTCGAGACTCTCTCTTAAAAAAACAAATAAATAAATAAATAAATAAATAAATAATTTTATTCTATGTTATTATGAGTACTATTATTCATGATCCTGGAGATTAAATTAGGGCTGTCATTCTGAGCTGCATCCCAGACTTAGGGAGACAGCTCTCCCAGTTACCCAGGCTGGGCTCCAACTTGTGATTCTCCTGCCTCAGCCCCCCAGAGTATGGGGTTACAGGCATGTACCACCATGCACAGCTCAAAAAAATTATTATTTTTTGGTACTGGGAATTGAACTCAGGACCTTGTATTTATCAGGCAAGTGCTTTTGATGCTGAACTATATCCTCAGCCCCTAAAAATTCTATTTTATCTGAGAATATATTAAGAAAAATTTAGAAGAAGAAATAACTCTTTAAAAATTCAAAGTGGAACAATTCAGTGTATTGGCAGATTTGAAAATTTAATAACAAGTAACATGCAGAGTTTGGGACTAACATCAACCTTGAAGCTGGTGAAGATTAAACTTTTTTTTTTGTATTTTAGGGAAGGGTCTACAGGGTGTTCAGGGTCTCACTATTAGATTGGACTCATAGTGATCCGCCTGTTTACAGCCTCCCAAGAGCTGGGGTTACAGGCCCACGCCACCACGCCCAGTCTCAATTGCTGACTCAGCACACCCCAGGTGCAGGGCCTGCATGGCGGGCCCAGGGATTGAACCCCGGGTCCCTGCACCTGCTTGCAGGCACTTTAATCTGCTGAGCTATTTGGCCAGCCCTAACAACTTTGGTATTTCATTTTATTGTCGTCTCTTTTTTTTGAGACAGGTTCTTGTGTAGTTCAGGATGGCCTTGAACTCTCTATGTATCTCAGGCTGGCCCCAGAATCACAGGAATACTTATGCTTCAGCCGCCCAAATGCTGGGATTACAGGCATGTACCACCGTACCCGGCTTCGGGCTTCAGTATTCTAAATTTGCTTACTAGGGATTGGAAGTGCAGCTAAGTGAGAGAGCGTTGCCCAGAATGTACAGGGCCCTCGGTTTGATCCCCAGTACTGAGAAAAGAGAAGAAAAAAAGAAAAGAAAAGAAAAGAAAAGAAAAGAAAAGAAAAGAAAAGAAAAGAAAAGAAAAGAAAAACTTTTTTTGTTTTTGCGGAACCGGGGATTGAACTCAGGCCCTTGCACTTGCCAGGGAAGCACTTATTCTACTGAGCCATCTCCCCGGCCCCTTAAAAACTTTTTTGGATAATAAATTTAACTACTGTTTTAAATAAACGAAGAGGTCATTTTGATTCCCTTTGTGAGACTGGAGGGAAAGCCAGAGAATCAGAAAGCACTTCTCAGGGCCGGGGAGATGGCTCAGTGGAATAAGCGCTTCCTTGGCAAGTGCAAGGGCCTCAGTTCAATCCCTGGTTCCGCCAAAAAATAAAATAAAAAATAAAGAAAGTGCTTCTCCAAAGCCCATTTATTTTTATGTTTATCTTTTTGGGGTACCGGGGATTGAACTCAGTGCTCTGCACTTGCCAGGCAAGCACTTAATCTGCTGAGCTATCTCCCCGGGCCCTCCAAAGCCCATTTATAGGGACCAACTGAGGATTCCCGTAGGAACATCCGGGCACAGGAGCTCCTGGCACACCCAGAGGCCTGCTCGGTAGCCGGTAGCGGGGATGGGCACAGCAGGAAAGCAGTCACCGAGCAGCACAGACCCTGGTCATTTCCCAGGCATGCGGTGGGGGGATCAAAATGAGAAGAGCGAGGTCAAGGCCAGGGGAAGGTTTTACTTTGTCTGAGGTGCTGGGGACTGAAAGCAGAGTGCTCCACCAGTGAGCTCCTGCCCAGCGATTTATGTTTTATTTTGAAACAGGGTCTTGCTAGGTGGTGATCCTCCTGCCCCACCCTCCACAGGGGGGATTACAGGTGTGAGAGGCCTTGTGTTTTGTTGCTGCTGTTTGTTTTTATTTTGGTGCTAGAGGTTGAACTCCGGGCCTCACTGATGCTAACTAAGCGTGCCTTCTACCATTGAGCCATACCTCAGCCTGCTTTCATCCTCTTGGGAGACAGCTGAGGCTAGAAAGATTTTGTCACCTAGCCAGTGGGAGCCAAAAGCTTGGGAGGGGCAGGGTAGAGGGGTGAGCTGGCTTCGAGGCGCCTGGACTTTGAATGTAAAGAGCACAGGGCTCCCCAGAGAGGGAGAGGGCATTTTGTAGCATTTCTCTTTCCTTCTGGGACCATCAGTCTGCAGGCCCTTTTCCCTACAGGAAGAGGTTCTTGGTATGATTCCAGATTAGGGCTTCAGAAGCTTTGTATCCCCACCAACCCCACCTTTTTTTTTTAATCTTTTTGAGACAGGATCTCACTCTCACTGTGTGGTTCAGACTGGCCTTGAACTCACTATGTAGCCTAGGCTGGCCTCAAACTCATGGCGATCCTCCTGCCTCAGCCACCTGCCTGAGTGCAGAGATTAGAGGAGAATGCCACCACACCCTGATCATGAATTTGTATTTTATTTATTTTTGGTTTTTTAATAACTTTATTGAAAATCAATAATTACATATATTAAAAATTATAGACAAATATTGAAATGTGAAAGATAGAAGATGGAGAAGAGTGATTTTTAGAGAAATATTTCTGAAATGAATACATCACATGAGATTAATGGATTGCACACTGTAAACAAATTTTTTATAAACTTAAATGAATATAACAGTAAAAATTGTCCAAAATAAAAATGAAGAAAGAAATCACAGATGAGTCATATAATAGTTCACTCTGTGTCAAAATCAAGAAACTTACATTCATATAATTAGAATTCTCAAAGTAGAAAGGAGTAGGCAATAAATATTTAAAGATTTAAAATTTCTGAATTTAGTTGAACTTATAACACCACATTCCCAAGAAAAATGAACCTTTTGTGCAAGAAATTTGAATAAGATCATACCAAGATACACAAAAATGAAATTGTCCAAAACTTATTGTAAAGAAAAAAATCATTAAAGCATATACAGGGGGCCGGGGAGATGGCTCAGTAGAATAAGCGCTTGCCTGGCACGCTCAAGGGCCTGAGTTCAATCCCCGATCCCACCAAAAAAAAAAAAAAAAAAAAAAAAAAGCATATACATAAAAAATATTAGCTATGGAAGAACAAAATTAAATAGCATCTTGTTGCACATTAGAAAACAAAAAAAAAAGGGGCCGGGGAGACGGCTCAGTGGAATAAGCGCTTCCTTGGCAAGTGCAAGGGCCTGAGTTCAATCCCTGGTTCTGCCAAAAACAAAAAACAAACAAACAAACAAAAAGAAACCATTTGGGGCTGGTGAGATGGCTCAGTGGTCTAAAGCACCTATTTAGAACAAGCTTAGCAAAGCACAGGAACCACGGTTCAATCCCCCAGCACCACATGCCAGCCAGCCCCGCCCCCTGGTGGGCTGAGCCTCCAGGCTGGCCTCCTGTCTCCTAAAAAGCCCCAGGGGAGGCAAGGAAAACAAGCCCCAGAGCAGGGCTGCCTGTCCCTGGGGAGAGGGTTTCCCTGCTGGGAAGCCAGTCGAGTGGGTCCCCATGGCTACGTTGCTAGTGCTGCTGTCCACACATCCAGTGACACTTTGCACGAGGGTGAGGGAGGGCTCATTTCAGGTTTATCCTTGTTGGTTTGCGCCTCCCTTGTGGTTCAGGCTGCCTCGAGCTCACTGTGTCACCTGCCTACCGGCCCTGCCGGGCCCATGTCCCAGGGTGCTCTTCACTCCTAGAACAGGGCTCACGCAGTGCCACTTCCTTCCTCCTCACATCTGTCCTTCACCTCCCCCCTCAGCAGGGGGGAGGTCAGCAGGGAGGAGGTCAGGAAGCCTCTGGGGTGCGGACTCACTGTGGCCGGCAAACGACCTGATTCTATCTGCTCTGAACAGTTAGCCCTCAAGTAAGAAAATGGTGCCTCTGGGCAGCACCCAGCCAGCCAGTCCCAGGAGTCTGGTCCTCACTCTGACAACTTCAGGGACCAGTACAACCGGCTGGTCTGCTTTTACAGATGAACAAAATGGGACTAGGATGAAACCTGGGTTTGAGCCCAGGCCCCCTAATTCCAAGTCTCACACTTTTCATCCTGTATTTGAGCCTCAAACTGGAAAGAGGCTTCCATTTGCAGCAAAAGAGCGGCCAGAGTACTTGGAGACCCTCCCACTTCAGAACAACTGATGTGAAGGTGGGACGTGGCCTGCTGCCTGTTAAATGGGAGCGTGAGACTACAAGAAAGTAATGGGGCCAGGCATGGTGGTGCATGCCTGCGATTCCAGCGCTGGGGAGGCTGAGACAGGAGGATCTGCAGCGAGTCGGAGTCCGAGGCCGACCTGGGCTACATAGTGAGATAGTGAGTTCAAAGCCAGCTTGAGTTATAGTTGGATATTGTATCAAGAAGAAAGGGGAGAGCTGGACATGGTGGTGCACGGCTGTGACCCTAGCACTCAGGAGGCTGAGGAAGGAGGATCATTTGCATTGGAGACCAGCCTGGACTACACAGTGAGAGTGAGACCGTCTCAAAAAGACAGACGAGAGACAGACAGACAGACAGATAGACAGACTTCGATTTTTTAGAAAAATTAGGTAACTTATCCAGTAGGGGACAACTGATACTGTTGGCAGTAGCCTAACTGTCTGAATATTGCAAACACAATATTATACTTGGGTGAGGTAGCACATTTTGTAATCTCAACTCAGGAGGCTGAGGCAGGAGGATCAAAGGGGCCAGGTATGCCAGCACAAGCCTATAATCCCAACAGTGTGGGAGGCTGAGTCCTGGCTGGGAAATTGAGCAAGACCCAGCTCAAAATACAAACTAAGAAAGTGCTGGGGGATGTAGCGCAGTGCAAAGGCCCCTGGGCTCAATCCCTAATGCCTCTTAAAAAAATAAACTTATTAATTTAAGTAAATGAACACATGAAACAGGATCCAAATGCCTTGTTACTTTAATGTTTCAGAACGTTGCATGTGTTTTTTTCCTTCTTCAGGGAGAAACCAATAGGATCATAGCCGCCCACACTCTGAACAAAAACTCATCCCGGTCGCACTGCATCTTCACCATCTACCTGGAGGTGGGTGGAGGCCAGGGGCAGGGTGGGGGTGCGGTGGGAGTTTCCTGGTTCCTGGTTCCTGATTCCGAGGGGCTCCGCAGGCCTGAGCCCCGCCCTGGGCCGATGGCTGCATGCTGCTTTGTAGGCCCACTCCCGGACCTTATCCGACGAGAAGTACGTCACTTCCAAGATTAACTTAGTGGACCTGGCCGGCTCCGAGAGGCTGGGGAAGTCCGGGGTGAGTGAGGCTGGCCGAGGGGCTACTGGGCAGTGGGACCACCGCTCATCAGGCGGGGGAGAGCGCAGCCCTCCAAGGGGAGACAACGGAGGGCGGCAATCGGGGTGCACACTTCCCACTCCTGGGCCTTTTTCTAAACACGAAATGGCACCAGGCCTCCTAACTCTTAGCGGGGTGCCGGGGCTCAGTAAGTACTATGAGCTGCACAGCACTTTTTTTTTTTGGCGGAACTGGGGATTGAACTCGGGCTCTTGCGCTTACCAGTCAAGCGCTTATTCTACTGAGCTATCTCCCCGGCCCCATGCATATATATAGCATTTCTCTCTCCACCAATATGACTTTGTGGGAAGATTTCAAGTAAGTAGTTGTGTAAGTGTGCATTAACACAGGGCTCTGCAGAGGATTCTGTGAGCACAGGCGTGTGTGTGTGCTCGTGCACAGGGTTGCTTGCTCAGCCTCAAGGGTTCTCACATCCATTTGTGTTAGTGTGAATCTTTGATGACAGTTGCTGTGAATGTTCACAGAGTATTGGTAGTGACACGCGCATCCACGCAAGTACTCTTCTGAGTTTTAGTGTTACTGTTTTGTTGTGTTTTTTGAGACAGGGCCTTGCTATGCAGTTCAGCCTGGCTCAAACTCACTACGTAGCCCAGGCTGGCCTGGAACTCGAGGCAATTTTCCTGCCTTGGCCTTCTAAGTATGGGGCTCATAGGTGAGCCCCTCCACACCTGGCTTGGGGATTACCATTGTTAACCCCAGATGGAATGTGATTCAGGACGTGGGGGAAGACCTGAGCTCTGGGAAGTGTCATCCACCTCAGGAGGGGAGCCGCTCTTAGCGGGGCAGCCACACTCTGCCCTGGGTGGAACTGCCCTTTGATTTGCAGTCTGAGGGCCGCGTCCTGAAGGAGGCCACCTACATCAACAAGTCCCTGTCGTTCCTGGAGCAGGCCATCATTGCCCTTGGGGACCAGAAGCGAGACCACATCCCATTCCGCCAGTGCAAACTCACCCATGCCCTGAAGGACTCACTGGGTGAGGGCGGGGCTGATGCCCAGGAGGGGCTCCATGCGGGGTGGGGGCAGGCCTGGCACAGGGGGCAGTATCGCTCCCTCCCTCAGGCACATGCAGACTCACAGCCCTGCCCAGTGACTTCTCAGGCCCCTTCTTCTGGCCATGCTGTTAACTCCTCGCAGTCTTTGTTCCCCTTACACCCTGCTGGGAATCCTCTTTCCATCCCTTCACCAGCCTGCCAGAACCTTTTAGGCCTAGAAGACCATTGAAAGACAGGCTCACCCATAATGTTCTCCCTTGCTTATTTATTGATTTGTTCATTCTTTCTTTTTTTATTTTTGAGACAACATCTGGCTATGTAGTTCAGGCTGATCCTGACTCAGTATGGAGTCCAGGCTGGGCCCATAAACCTTGCAGTGCTCCTCCTGCCTCAGCCTCCTCAGTGCCAGGATTACAGGCATGGGCCACCATGCTCAGCACCCTAATCGTTCCTCTCTGAGCCTCCTGTGCAGAGCAGTAGGGGCTTGTCTTTTCCCGTGTCCCCTAGCATTTGTGTTGAGCCTGTTGACACAGTGGCTAGTTTTTTGGTTGTTCGCTGAGTGACTGAGTGATACGTGAGCAAAGCCCTGGCTCACGCCCTCCTTGTATGTCCTCCCACAGCCCACCCTGCACTGTCCTCCTCTGCTGTGCTTTCTGGCTCTGCTTTTAGGGGCCTCAGGTGGCTTCTGTCCCTTCCTCTTTCTTCCCCTTGCTTCAGCCTCCCACAGGCTGTGGTTGTGGCCTTGACTCTGACTTTGTCAGCCTGGGCTGCTCAAGGAACCCACCCCCAGAGCAGGGCTGAGGGGGAGGCCTGTCAAGGGCTGCCTACCACTGTGCCTCAGAGAACAAGAGAGGTCCTGTCTGCTTTCTTGGAAGGAGAGCGGCTCCATCCTCAGGCCTCCCCCTTGGGATCTCCAAGGGATATCTGGAAGTGGCACTTTGGGGCAGAGCCTTGGCACCTGGCTCTAGGCATTCAGTCTACAGCATGGACCCTGCATCCCTGAGGGTGTTTCTTCACCAAATCCCATGAGATTCAGGTCAGGTCTCACTTTTGCAGGGGGAAACTGCAACATGGTCCTGGTGACTAACATCTACGGAGAAGCCGCCCAGCTAGAGGAGACGGTATGTAGCAACATGGTCAGTTCACTGGGACCCAAGTCCCTTCTGGGGGCCTGCACCTGCCAAGGGCTGGAGCCATAGTTTCTGAGGGGTTCAAGTCAGGACCCCACAGCAGGCCCTGAGGGGTACTGAGGAGGAAAGAGGTAGGAGAGTGGGAGGACCTAGCAAGCAGGGCACGCTGACAGCCAGCCTGAGGACCAGAAACATGCTTCCTGGGCTTAGCCTAGGAGTTGGAACCCAGGACAGTTGACTGCTTGATCTTTGTAATCATGCATATTGGGGCTTGGGACCCAGATTAGGGCTAAAGCCCTCACCCAGCACTGCCAGGCTCTAGGTTCAACCCCCAACACTGAAGGAAAAAAAACCCACCTTTGGCTGCAATTCCAAGGCTGGTCTAAGCAGGTGGATGGATATTAGGCACCTGCCCCATCTGTGCCCAGTGGTAGAGGGAGAGCAGGTTGGTAGAGACGAGTTACGATGGTGCCAGAGAGAAGCCTGGTGTGGCAGCTCCACCTCTCATCTCAGCACTGAGGCAGGAGGATCACTGCAAGTTCAAGGCCAGCCTGGGCTACATATTGAAATCTTGTCTTACCCAACCCCGAAAGTTGCCCTCCAAGACAAAGTCCTCTAGCTCCCCTTACCCCCAACCCCAAAAGGGCACAACACAGGAAGTTGGTCTCCTGGTACCTCCTATGCCCACACCACCCCGGGTCTCTGCCCTGGACCACTGAGCCCACAGGTCCAGCACTGTGCATCTAGGGGTTTGGGACAGAGGTCTATGAGCATGCGGGAACAAATGATTCTCTTCTCCAAATGGCTTAAAACTTTAATCATGGTCCATCATGGTCTGTGTGGCCCTGCAGTAGCCCTGCGTATGCACGCATGCATCGTGTGTGTGTGTGTGTGTGTGTGTGTGTGTGTGTAAAACCACAGCGATGGTGGAGAGCACAAGACTCATGAGGCCCATCACAGAGGAAACCACCTGTAGAAACAGAGACTTTCTCTTTTTTTTGTTTTCATTTTTCCTTCCTTTCATTTTTAAAATTATTTATTTTTAATGTTGGTACCGGGGATTGAACTTGTTTATTTATTTTTTGAGACAGGGTCTTGCTATGTAGTTCAGCCTGGTCTTGGACTTACTGTGTAGCCCAAGCTGGCCTCAAACTTGTGGGGATCCTCTTGCCTCAGCCTCTGGGATTATAATGCGGGGATTACAGGTGTGTACCCACCACACCCAACAGGCATCCTTTCCCCTAAGTGGTGAGGTCTTTCCAGGGTCACCCCAGTGGTCAGTGGCACTTCTTAGCTACCAAATCACACTGGCACAGAAAAGCCCCCCTGTCCTTCCACAGGGTCATAGGAGGATGGCTCACCCACTTGCTCGCCTGAGGCCTCACTCAGGCCCCGTCGCTGACAGCGAGCCCACCCTGTGGGAGGCTTTGCCCTTGTTAACATCTGTGCAGGTGGGCGGCATCTGGAAGCCTCCCGAACAGCTGCTCCCTCTGGGCCTCCAGCTGTAATCGTCCCTGACACCTAGGGGTTTGGGACAGAGGTCTGTGAGCATGTGGGGACAAATGATTCTCTTCTCAGTACTCAGAAGGCTGAGGCAGGAGGATTGCTGTGAGTTTGAGGCAAGCCTGGGCTACAGAGTGAGACCCTGTCTCCAAAAAAAAAAAAATTTTTTTTTTAAAGACCAACTATAAAAACTTTAGGAGGATATCTCAGTAATCTTAGAATGTTGATTACATGTTGAAATAATATTTAGGGTATACAGTATTTGACTAATGTTTAAATAAGGTATATTAAGATCATTTTTACTTGATTCTTTAACCTATTCTAATATAGCTACTAGAAAATTTAAAACTAAAGCCAGGTATGGTGGCATTTGCCTATAATCCAAGCACTCAGGAGCCTAAAGCAGGAGGATCACTTGAATCCAGGAGTTTCAGACCAGCCCAGGCAACATAAAAGGAAGGAAGGAAGGAAGGAAGGAAGGAAGGAAGGAAGGAAATAAAAGAAAGGAAGAGAAAAGAAAGGCTAGATATGATGGTGCCTGCTTATAATCCCAGCTACTCAGGAGCCTAAAGCAGGAGGATTGGATATTTGAGATCAGTCTGAGAAGTTTAGTAAGACCCTGGCTCAGAAAAGAGCTGGGATTGAAGCTCAGTGGTAAAGTTCCCCTGGATTCAATCCCCAGGACTGGAGAAACAAAAACAAAACAAAGAAGAAAGGAAGGAAGAAACAAAAATTGAAAATTGAAAAAAATTAAAATTGTATTTATAGGGCTAGGGAGATAGCTCAGCAGCACAAGCACCTGCCTGGAAGGCACAAGCTCCTGAGTTCGATTCTGGATACCAAAAATAAATAAATACATGAATAAATAGCACATAAGAAGCTACTCAGGAGGCTGAGGCAGGAGGAACCCCACAAGTTGGAGGCCAATATGAACAATTTAGAAAGACTTTGACTCAAAATACTTTTTTTTTTTTTTTTTTTTTTTGTGGAACAGAGGATTGAACTCAGGCCCTTGCGCTTGCCAGGGAAGCGTTTATTCCACTAGCCCATCTCCCTGGTCCTCGATAAAATTTTTTTTTAAAGGTGGAGATACAATTCAGTGGCAGAGTACTTGCCTAGCTTTTGTGAGGGTCTGGGTTCAATCCCTAGTACCACACGCACACGCACACACACACACATGCATGCACGCACGCACGCATGTATGTATGTGTGTGTACATGTCCATATGTGTATGTCTTATACAGGTGGTTTGCATTGCATTTCTGCTGGACATTACTCATGCGGCCCTCAGGAAGTAGGAAGTCCACTAGAAGGGAGGGGCCGCCCTGCCCAAGGGTGCGCTGTGTTTCATTGGAACAGGCAGACACATCTCAAGCAGAGAAACTACAGGACTTCGGCTGGCAGCTGCGTGCAGCCGGGCCTTAGAGAACATGGGAAGCAGGGAGGCAGATGGGTAGGAGAAGGAAGGGGGACCCTCCATCCCAGACCCCAAAGTGGGGAGGCTCCTGTTTGGATGCAGAAGCAACTAGCACAGATTCTCAGGGTCTGCTGTGGAGGACCAGCCTGTGCCCTGTGTCAGCCTCCTGCCTCCCCATTTGAGGATCTCATGGCTAAAAATATATCTTTGTGCTGGGGATTAAACCCACGAACCACATGTTTGACAGGCAGGCGGAAGCCCAGGAAGGACGGGCAGGATCCCTGTCTTGGGGCCTTGCTCCAATGGGGAGCCCCCTGACATCTGGTTTGTCTTCCAGCTGTCCTCACTGCGCTTTGCTAGTCGGATGAAACTGGTCACGACTGAGCCTGCTATCAACGAAAAGCACAACACTGAGGTACTCGGGCTGTGGATGGCTGCTGCCCCACGGGGCGACGTGTGGGCCTGTGACTGTGAGGGTAGCAGGCTGAGGCAGGAAGGAAGCCACTCCCAGCCCTGGCTCAGTCCCTCTGTGTGCTAGAACGTGCAGGGGCTGCCCCAGTGGCGAGAGCCCAGGGTCCCTCCACTGGTGGAGCCCAGGAACTCTGGGTGCCCTGGGCTTCTCCATGAGATTTCCTTGAGCAAGTTACTGTTTGGTTTTGCTTTTGTTTTTTGGAGGCAGGGTCTCACTATGTAGCTCAGGCTGACCTTGAACTCACCGTGGAGCCCTGAGCCGGGAGCCATCCTTCTGCCTCAGCCTTAAGCCCACAGACAGCTATACTTTTCAGACCAAAGTCCCGAAGGAACTAACCTAGGGCTTGAGGGTCTGGAACTGAAAGCAACACTTTCCAAACTCAGCTAGCATGTGTGACACCAGGCCAGCTCCCTGAGCCATAGGACCTGGGTAGTTCCCAGAGTTCCTGATTCCGTCTGCCCAGGGAGGCCTGGGGACACGGTTTTCCGTGGGTTCCCCAGTGGCAATGCTTCTGCAGCAGCTGCTCCGGGAGCTCACTTTGAGATCTGCTGGGGCCACAGTGAAGAACCCTGGTGCTGAATTCCGGAACCTGGTCATTTACTGTGTAGCCTTGGCAAAACCCAGTGAGCTTATTTCTTCATTGATAAATTGCAGAATTAATATAATCCACCCTCAAAGGGTTTTGTGAAGAACAGATTCCCGTGTAGAAACCTCTGAGCAATTGCTGCCATGGAGTAAATGTTCCATAACCATTAGCTAGTACTGCGCCCTGGCTGCAGAGTGGTAGTGGCACTTAATTTCTTCTTGGTTCTGGTTTGTTGGGACAGGATCTCACTATATAGTCCAGGCTGACTGTGAACTGAGTGCTGGTGCCAGTGTTGCCACCACGCCTGGCTTTGAAGCTGCCACTGTGCCTGGCTTTGGAGCTATTCTTGTCTTTCATTAGTCAGAGTTCCCTTGGCTCAGGACTGTCACATTACCATGTATGAACCTGGCCGGGTGGATACTGCACCCAGCGCCAAGGTCTCCCATGCACTGTAATGTCATTTCTGCTTTGAAACTTGCATGGCTAGTCCTGCAAAGCTGGTCTCCACACCTCCCAGTGGGAATATCTTTTGCTTGCTTGCTTTCTCTCTCTTTTCTCTTTCTTTCTTTCTTTCTTTCTTTCTTTCTTTCTTTCTTTCTTTCCCTCTTTCTTTCTTTTCTCTCTCTCTCTCTCTCTCTCTCTCTCTCTCTGTCTCTCTCTCTCTCTGCTTTGCTTATCATTTTTCCTTTTTTAAAATGTATTTACGCAGGGACTGGGGGTTTGATCCCTGGGCCTGCCGTGTTGGCCCCGCCCCTGGGGCATGCTGAGATGGCAGTTGAGACTGGGCACTGGGTGTGGTGGTATGCACCTATAATCCCAGCTCTTGGGAGACTGTAAACAGGTGGATCACTACGAGTCCAATCTAGTAGTGAGACCTGAACACCCTGTAGACCCTTCCCTAAAATATAAATAAATAAATAAAATAAATGTGTTTAGTACAGGGTCTACAGGGTCTCACTATGTAGACTGGACTTAAAGTGATTCTGCTGGTTTCAGCCTTCCAAGTGCTGGGATCACAGGCACGCACCACCATGCCCGGTCTCAGTAGTCATCTCAACATGCCCTGGGAACGGGGCCAGCATGGTATGCTGGTGATTGAACCCCGGCTGCTGCTCTCTGCCTAAGCAGATGCTTTAGTCTGCTAGCTCTCTGGCTGGCCCCTGCTTATCATCTTTCTGATAAGCATTTTGCTTTATAAATACAAGGTATGGAGAGAGACATGGGAAGTTATTTTGGTGGTGTCTTCCCTAGAAGGTGGCTGGTATGCTGGGGTTGCTGCAGAGCTAGTTCAGTGCCAGTGTCTGTTTCAGGGGGCAGAAGAACCACTGTCGAATCACCTGGGCCAGCGGCTGGCTGTAAGGTGAGGGTCTGGCCTCTGTGTCAAGTTTTCAGACTCTCAGCGTCAGAGTCTTTATTAGGGAACACGGGCTTCAGACTGCCGACTTCAGAGCCCCTTGTGCTGTGCAGTGACCACCAAGGTGGAGGAAGGGCTTCAAGCCCCGGGTATACAGACAGCAGCATCAGCTTAGCGCACCCTGCTCTCAGGTCAAAGCCAGCCTGCAGGCTGAGGAAAATGGCCGAGGCAAGGGTGGCCCTGCACCCGGTGCAGGCCTGAGGCAGGACTCTGAATGACCCTCATTCCATGTCCGATGCACACCGTGGCTGCTGGCGAGCATATGTGAGTCTGTGCTGTGTCCAAGGCATTTTTCTTTCCAAAGAATTCTGGTCAAATCAAGGAGCCAGTCAGCTGGAGGGGCTGCCTGCCTGTGACCTATGGGTCTGTGTCCAGGCTGTGATGGCTGGCAGGCATCAGGGTAAGTGGCTGTCATGTTCACCGGGTGTGAGCTGGGTGGAGGCTGTGCCCCCTCTACGTCCCCGTGCTGCCCTCTCATGGGCCCAGAAGTCAGGGTTGGGGCATAATGTGCTTTCTAGACCTGGGGGGAGGGGGAGGGGGATGGCCAGGCCACCCTCAAGACTCTCCCCCAGCCCCACAGGAAGCCCAAACCTCAGGAGACCTACTTGGGCTTCCTAAGGGGCGGAGCCAAAACTCAGTCCTTGATCAGGACTCTCACCTGCAAACTTTGGCCCTGGGTAGTGACCCCTCACCACATGAGGTGTAGCTGCAGGAGAGCTCCATTGCCCAGTGACCCAGCTGGTTGGGCTAGAGGGTAGCAGACCTTTGGTCTGAGGGGCCATAAGGCATGGACTGTATGCTGCGTTGACCACTGGTTCCAGGGCTGAGGTGTTGGGGTTCCCTCCCATGGCCGTTTTGTGACAGTTAAAGGACATGCCACTGTTCATAGTGAGGGTTCTCAGGGTGAAGTCCCCAGTGTCTTTTTTTTGTGGGTGACACTGAGTATCCTTAGGACAGTGGTGGCGAACGTGTGGCACGCATGCCACAGTGGGCTGTTTGTATCACTGAAAGCTCTAAAAGGTTCATTCTTCTTGCTCTGGGATGTTAATGTGCTAGCAGTCTGCTCGCTGAAATGTATCATTTGTTGACTTTAGAGCTGCGGAGCGTGGCTCAGGCATTTTTCAAAGCACCTGGGATATATAACTGTGCAAACAGAAACATAAATCTCTGTCCGAGCTTGCTGTGCGTGTTAGTCAGCTTTGCATCTGCAAGAGACGGGGGGAGACAGCTCTGGGAGAGCACTTTCAATGCACAAGGCCCGAGTTCAACCCCGACTACCATCCAACAAAGAACTGTCCAGACAAAGCAGACTTCCAAGGACAGGCAGAAGGCCAAGACTGTGTTGCATGGATTTCTTGAGTAGGTATGCACTATCAGAACCTTAGATAGTCCACTTAAAAAGAGGACATGTCCGTCTGGTGGCACATGCTAAGGAGGCTGATGCAGGAGGATTGCCAAGATCCTATCTAAAGAAAACCAAAAACCGAAAAACCACTAATTGCTACTTACACTTTTTTTTTTATGTTCTTGGTACAGGGTTTCACTACACAGCTTGAACTCATAGTGATCCTCCTGTTTTCAGTCTCCCCATTGCTGGGATTACAGGCGTGTGCCACCACGCCTGGTTCTGGTCCGGGGCAGGGCCGGGCAGGGCCCACCTAGCATGTTGGGCAGGGATCGAACCCTGGTCCCTGCACATGCCTAAGCAGGCACTTAGTCCACTGAGCTATCTCTCTGGCCCTGCATGTGGCTATTTAATGAAAATTAAAATGTATCTTTTCAGCCACAGGAGCCACACTTGGCGTGTCGTGTTCGGTAGCAGCTACAGGTGGCTCCCAGCCGCCAGATCAGACAACATGGATATTCATTTTTCTCATTGCAGCGAGTTGTGTTAGGTAGTCCTAATCTAGAGCAAGTTGGGAGGTAATGAATGGTTTAAAAAGAATAGATGAGACTTTTAAAAAATGGTGATATAGAGGTGGGGAGGGGAATGCAATTTTAGGTGAGATGACTGAAGTATACTTAATTTAGAAGGCTTTTTTTTTTTTTCTTGTCTTGGAGATTAAACTCCAGACCAGAGTATTTACATTGAGTCACATCCCCAAACCCTTATTTGTTTATTTAATTTTTTAAGATAGGGTCTCATTAAGACCTGAATTGTGATCTTCCTGCCTCAGCCTCCCAGAGTGTGGGGATTCTAGGAGTGCACCATCATGCCCTGCATTAATTTAGGATTTTGAACAAGGTTTCCAGGGAGTTTGGGAGTCAGCTGTGGTGATGGGGGAACAGCATCTAGGCAGTGGAGACAGAGGGGACAGGAGCCACCGATGTGGTGTAACCGGAGTCGGCCAGTGGAGCACAGTGGGGAGGAGGTGACGGGGCAAGGATGCGGCCTCATAGGTCACCGTTCTCTGGCAGAAACCTTGAAGGACAAGGACAGGCAGGCGGAAGATGTCCTCATGGCACTGTGTATAGCAGCAGAGGTCAGGGGAGGTGCACAGGATCTCTCCCAGAGAACTGTAACAGTCATGCAGGAAAGGTTGAGGCTGAGGACTGGGCACAGAGAGCATCTGAGAGTGGGTAGCACATGCCTGCGCTGTGGCTCCTTGGGAGGCTGAGGCAGGAGAATTGAGAATTAAGGTGACTCTGGGCAATTAGCGAGACCCTGTCTCAAAACAGAAACCAAAAAAAGGAAGTATTCTGGAGCCGTTGGACCACAAGATAAAGGCCATCTTTCTGAGAGACAGGAAGAGCCTGGAGCCCCCAGGGAATTAGGGTTGCTTCTCTCTCTCTCTCTCTCTCTCTCTCTCTCTCTCTCTCTCTCTCTCTCTCTCCCTTTCTTCCCCCCTTTCCTTCCTTTTTGTCTGTCTGTCTCTGAAGTACTAGAGATAGAACTCAGAGGTATTCTACCACTGAGCTCTATCCCTACTCTTTTTATCTTTTATTTTGAACCAGGGTCTTGATGCATCCATCCTTCTGTAGACACTTTCGCCATCCCTGCCTTAGTGAGGTGTTCTTGTGGCCTATGCTCCCTCTTTCCCCATTCTCCTCTGGAGAAGAGGCAAAGGCTAGGGAATGTGGAGGCTGTCTTATGCCCTGGACTCTTCCTTTCTGGGGAGACAGCTCATGGAGAGGGCATGGCTCAGAAGCTTGGAGCACATACTGCCTGATACCAGGAATGGCCAGGGTGTCTGAGCACAGCACAATGGGGACGAGGCGGGGTCACCTCCCGGTTCACCTCCCCACCCTTGTGTTTCCCTGCAGCGAATGGTCAAGAACCTGGAGAAGGAACTGGCACTGCTCAAGCGGGAGCTGGCGCTTCACAACAGCTTGGTATGAGACAGAGACCCCAGGAAGACAGGGCACTGGGGCAGGGCAACTCTGGGGCAGAGGCCAGGAAGGTGGTGCAGGTTGGGATTCCCCCAGGGGTCTGCCTGGCTGACATGGCCCTGAAGTCCCTAGGGTCTGCTCAGACTCAGCCAGCGGAGCCTCCTGTCCAGTGGCCTTTCCTTTCCTCCCCACCCCGTGGCCCTCTGAGCCAGGGCCCTGGCTTCTGTGCCCCTGGCACATCTTCTGCCAAGACTAGAGATGGTGGAGCAAACAGAGGTCACCTGGGCAGCGGAGTGGCCCCCAGCCTGGCTTTCAGGCTGGCTCTGCCCTCCTGCTTAGGCTTAGGGCTTCTGCAGCTCATAACCAGATGTCCTTCATTTTCATGCAGGCCAACCGCCCCCTGGTAACCTATGACCCCATGGATGAAGTCCAGATTGCTGAGATCAACTCTCAGGTGCGGAGGTACCTGGAAGGAACCCTGGAGGAGATCGATGTAAGGAGCCCTCTATGGGGACGCAGCTGGCCTGGGGTTTCTGTTCTGGCCCCAGACACACCCAGTGTGTATGTGCCGCCAAGAGGGGACTGTGGCTGTGGGGTAGCACTGGACCCCTGGTGTAGGGGCCCTTCAGCCGCCCTGGTGCAGCTACCACACTGGGGATAACAAGGCTGCAAGTTGCCCAGGGTGGCCGGTAAGGTACAGGAGGTGTCTGCCTCAGGCAGCAGGAGCCAATGGAAGGCCAGCTTAGCTGCCTCTTTGCTGAGTGACCTGAGGCAGAACAACTCCACTGTCTTTCAGCGGCCTTCTCAGTGCAGCAGCCAGGGACTGGCCCCACGGGGTGCAGCTGCTGAAGGACGGAGGTCAGGCTGGTTGTCTGCAGGGAAGGCCGCAGGGCCCACGCCAGAGTGGGTCGAGGAGCGGGGGACAGTAGCACGCAAGGCAGGGTGCTCAGGGAGAAAGTGCTGCTCTGTGCAGGCGCTCAAAGCCTCGCCAGCAGCACCACCTGTTAGCAGGGGCAGCCCAAAGACCCAGGCTCAGGCTGACTGGGAAGGTGGGCTCTGCAGCCTTCCTAGCAGGAGCCTCAGACTGCCCTCAGTCCAGGGCAATGCTTGTGGGCTTTAGGGCCAGGCGGGAGACCCGTGACTGTCCTCTAGCTACAGGAGTGTGTGTGTGTGTGCGCGGGGGGGGGGGGTCCATCTGGAGATGGCAGGCTGAACATTTTAGAGCATGACAAAGCCAATTAAATAGATTCTGTTCAGTTTTTTTTTTTTTTTTTAAATCTTAGAAAGTATTTTGAAGAACTAGAGCACTCCCCTTAGAAAAAGTGGTTTTTGGGGCCACCGAGATAGCTCAGCAGACTAAAACACCTGCTTAGGCAAGGGCAGGACTACAGTTCAATCCCTAGCGCCATATGGTGTGCCAGCCCCACCCCCAGGGAGGGCTGAGCCAGCCACAGTCTGGACATTGTGGTACATGCCTGTAATCCTGGTGCTGGGGAGGCTGAAAACAGGAGAATCACCCTGAGTCCAAGTTGCATAGTGAGGCCCTATAACAACCAAATACATTAAAAAAAAAAAGAAGAAAAGAAAAGAAAAGAAAAGAAAAGAAAAGAAAGAAAGAAAAAAAAGGTTTTTATACCCTCAGCAAATCCTTCACTTGAGAGCTGTGGGTGAGCTGCTTCCCTGCTTTGGAGAAGGCTCAACTACCACTCGCTGAGAGGTGGACCCTGATGGCCCATTCTCAAGATGGAGGCCCTGCTCTCGGCTCACAGACACAGCCCCAGCTGTCGGGGCCTGCGGCCTGATCTCTGCCTCACTATCTTCACCCCAGATAATCAACCTCAGACAGATCCAGGAGGTGTTCAACCAGTTCCGGGTGGTTCTGAGGTGAGGGGCTCCCTGCACCCTCCCCACTCCTTCAGCTGCCATTTTCATTTCTCGTGTTCTGGGCACTCACCCCCACACGTACCCCTTGCTCTCTCCTATGTGAGGAGCCAGATCCGAGTCCTGGGAATGTGCCTTGGTCCCTGGGGCTTACTGGGTCTATCAATAGGACAGGAAGTCTGTGGAGCGCCAGCCCCAGGTGTGTCCAGAGCAGGATATGTTGAACCTTCCCCAAACCTGACCTGGGGAGGTGAGGTTTACTGGGGCGAAGAGAAATGCTTATCCCAGACAGTTTATGCTGAGTGATGTCCCTGAAGCTGGTCACATGATGCGAGGAGCCTTACTTAAAAGACTTATAATCCTAGTACTGGTTTGCCCTCTGGGTTCAGCATGGCCCCCAGCACAAAGTATTCTCTGTCCATCTCCCCAGCCAACAAGAACAGGAAGTGGAGTCTGCTTTACGCCGAAAGTATACCCTCATAGACAAGAACGACTTTGCAACCATTTCTGCCGTCCAGAAGGTACACACGGTTGCCTCTTGCTAAAGCACTCTTCCCCAAGTATCCATCTTCAGCCCTTTACAGAGGCAGCAAGTGTCTGCATCCACCAGAGTTGGTGCTGCCTTAGCCAAAGGTAATACCAGGACTAGCAGCGGTGCCCTGCACAAGAACAAACCACCTTGGGACTGAACGGGCTTTCCATGAGCTGGAGAGGTGCCTGATAACAAACAGGACCGGTCCTAGAATGAGGCTGAAAACAGCCCTTAGGATCCTCAGCGGCGACTGCGAAGGGAGGTGATGAGGAAAGTGGGATTTGCTAGGGAGGTCGGGGCAGCTTTTTTGAGGCATCAAGAGCAGCCAAGTCCTGGAGTGTGAGGTGTCCATTTCAAGACTTGGACCATATACGGGTATGACTCTGCAGGGCCCAAACTTTTCCTCTCACCTGTGACCCCTTGCCTGGCGTCTCCCTCCAGGCAGGGCTTGTGGATGCTGACGGCCACTTAGTTGGTGAGGCTGACGGACAAAGTTTTGCATTTGGGATCATCCCTTTCTCTGCCAAGCCTGGGAAGAAAACCAAGACCAAGAAGACATTCAAAGAGCTGAGGTAACTGTCCCCTGCCACCCCTAGTGTCTCTGCTACTATGCAGAGGATGTCACCACAGGGGATGTCACAACTGACAGTGTTCACAGTTCTGTAGGGCCTCGCCGGGGCCTCTCACCCTTACAGCAGCCCTGTGACAGGGGAACAAGGCTCTGCCAGGGGAAGTCTCTTCCCGTGATCACACAACTACCGACATGTGCCATGGCAAGGAGGACTGGCAGCACTACCCAGTCCTTGGCCTCTGGTACCTGCACAGTGATGCCTCCGATGGTCCCTGCCCCTCACCGCAGTGCTTCCACTGACTGGCACTCAATCACTGAAGCCCCAGTTCATCTTTCAGATAAGACTTGTACACGCAAGCTGAGAATAGTGGCTGGGTTCTCCTAACGAGCTCCCCCTCTGCACACCACGGCCGCAGCCCCCCGAGGCAGTGCTGCATAGCAAGAAACAAGGGCGCAGTCTGGCTTGGAGACTGGGCCCACCTCCCTGCTCTGCACTTAAAGCCCCCAAGGAATCATTTGTGGACATGAGAACCAGTGTGTGCCTCTGTTTCCATATCCCTAAAATGGGAATAATAAGGAAGGACGGCCTTAGAATCCTTTGGGTTGTTGTAAGGATTCTTGAGGGAATGCTGTCCCTCCCTGCACACGGGCCAAAGTGGCTTGCAGAAAACTGTCACAGGCAGGCAGGCAGGCATCAGGTGGCAGAAGATGCTGGCTGCCTCCTGCTTCCTCAGAAGGGTCAGTCAGAGCCAGGCCTCTCTGGCCACTGTGCAATCAAGTCAGTAGTGTGCTCTGAGGTGCTGAGGTATGCCAGAGCCACAGTTGTGAGCAGAGGAGGAACAAACAGCAGAAAGAGCTGAGGGGGGCCTCGTGTCAGGTCAGCCCTGAGGCAGACACTAGAGAAGGCACATGGCTGGCCCTCGCTCTAGTGGAGCTGGAGCTGGAGCTGGTGCTGGTGGTAGGTAGGAAGTCCAGGATACTGACTGGTCACTGCCCCAGGATAGACTTGTCCAGTTTCACCACTGGGCCACAGACAGATCCCCCAGGACTTTCTAGGGATACGTGTGTGACTTTCAGTCACCCTGGTGACTCTGAGAGGCCACAGGCCACCCTACATGACCACATGCTTTTAAGCTGAGGAGACTGTGTCACCCTGCCTGGGGTCTGCTGAGACCGGAGGGACCCCTGTTCTGATGACAGGAGAGACAGTGCTTTCTTCTTTCCTGTTTGCATGGCTTAAAGCCACGCCCTGCCCCAGGACATGATTAGCATAGGAGCTCATGGTAGTAGGGCTTTGCCTCGTATACACACAGCCCAAGTTTTGCCCAAAAAACCAAACTAAAGCCAAAGCCCAAACAAATAGATAAGAGCTGAGAGGGATGGAGCACCTGGCATAGCAAGGGCTGAGAAAGGTCGCCCACCTCATGACCATGGCTGAACTCTGGGGCTCCCTTTCCTTCTCCTTCCAGCTCTTCGTTGAGAAAGGAAGGCTTACTCAGTCCAGTGAGTACCAAGGTCTTCGATGTGGTCTCCACCTCTAAGACCCAGCTGGTCTCATCTGCCAAGGAGGGGGATGTCAAGGACACACTTTCCCGGGAGAGGGAAACCTCCAGCATCGAGCCTTCAGTATCCGGTTCCCTGAAGGAGGAGTCACGCCCAATCAGGTAACCCTCAACGGGTAGCTCCCGCACCCCAGCAACCCAAACCACAGTGTAATCCTCAACATGCAAGCCTGCCTGCAGCCAGAGAGAAGGGAAACAGAGGGAGGAAGACCAGAGGAAGTCCAAAGATGCCTTAGACACACTTGAAATGGTCCAACCGCAGAAGTCACCCAGGACACACGATTCAAAATGGAGTTGCTCTAGACCCTCCACACGGCAATTACTAAAATAAAGTTATGTGTCTTCTACATAAATAGTGCAGTAAAGGTACCACATTCTCAAGGTATGAGTGTAAGTTCTTCCTTTGCCTCTATCCATCTCCCTAGTGAGTCAGTAACTGAGTTTTAGAATCTATTCTAAGGAAACAGAGGCATAGACAAGTTTTATACAAAGAGGTGTTCATTGCATTGTTAATTTAAAAATCAAGTTTGAGAGGCTAAGGCAGGATGAGCTCCATTAGTCTGAGGCCAGCTTGGGTTACATGATGAGTCCAAGGCCAGCCTCAACTGCATAGCGAGACACTGTCTCAGAAAAATAATTAGAATTAAAAGAACAATTTAAACACCTTCAGCATCAGGGAAAGGGCGTTAAGTGAACTATCTGTGTCCTTTGACTATGCAAGGATATGTCTGGGATATGTCTGAGAATCATTGCCCAGACCATGCTTATTTGCAGATATTCTGAGAAGTTAGGATTGTTCCGTGAGCTAGGAGGAGTGGTGCACACCTGTAACCCCAGCACCTGGGAGGCTGGGGCAGGAGGATCACCATTAGTTTGAGGCCAGCTTAGGCTGTGAGTGGGTTCAAGGCCAGTCCGCACTACAGAGTAAGACCCTGTCCAAATGAATAAATGAATGTTTTGATGCATTTCAAAGTGAGTTGCCAACAGCAGTCCACTTCCTTTTAGCACAGTACGTCATCTTGCATCACAGTAACTAGACTTCTCAAAGAGTTTAATAGCATGAAAGGATGCTTCTGTGAAAAAGTAAGATGTAAGATTATGTACACTGCATGGCCTTAGCTATTTAAAAACGTATCAGCTGGGTGTTGTGGTGCATGCCTGTAATCCCAGCACTTGGGAGGCTGGGGCAGAAGGATTCCTGCAAGGTCGAGGCCAGACTGGGCTACATAGTGAGGTCAAGTTCAGCTGGGACTACATAGCAGGATCCTGACTCGAAAAACAAGTAAGAAAGAAAAGAAAGCAGAAGAAACAAATCCCACTTGGAAATGGAAATATAGCCAAGTATGGCTTCCAATAGATATTGCATGTGTGTGTGTGTGTGCGCGTGTGTGCGTGCGTGCATGTGTGCACTGTTTCTTGTCTTTGCTTTCTTTATGTTTGTGTCAGCCTGTGCCCTGTGCGCAGAGTAAAGGTGAGATGAGAGAATGATAGGCGCCTAGCTCCTGTGTGGAGCAAGTGGTACCCAGGGCTTTGGCCCCCTGCCCACAGGAGCCCGAAGGAAGAAAGATGAAGTTCCCATCACCTCCAAGGCTGTCAACTGTTCTTTTTCTCCTCCTTGGCCCCTCCCTCTGTCCCCAGGCCCAGCACTCCACCCCCCAGGCCTTTGGCCTTTGAGGATTTCAAGAATGAGCGGGGTAGTGAGATCAACCGTATCTTCAAAGAAAACAAATCCATCTTGAATGAAAGGAAGAAAAGGGCCAGCGAGACCACACAGCGCATCAATGCCATCAAGCGAGAGATCGATATGACCAAGGAGTCACTAAATTTCCAGAAGTCGCTACGGGAGAAGCAAGGTGAAGGTGCTGGGAAGATGACCTGGGAAGATAGCTGTGAAGTCTCAGGGTCGCCCTGCTCCAAGGGTCTGCCTCGAGCACTAGGGATGGGAGAGGGCCCTTGGAGCACTGGGGTGCAGCCTTTGCCCCGAGGTCACCTTAGCTGGCTCTGTCAGACCCTCAGGGGCCAGAGTCCTTCCCTGCCAGCCCACCTCTGTTGACACCTCCTGCTCCTGCATTAACTCAGAGCTGGTTGCTGTGTCTCATGTGACATGTGCTGCTATTTGTGGAAATAACAGCCCTTGGTCCTACAGAGGTGTCCCCAGGAGATGGGCACCTGGCACCCCCTACAAGGTAGCCTCCCTGCCAAGTGGATCAGATGCTAGCAGGGACCATGAGAAACCCAGGGGGAGCCAGCGCATGGCTGTCAGTATGACCGTTGCTGGTCCTGACCTTGGTCACCTGTGCTGGCCTGGCAGCTTCTCTCCTAGGGCAGGTGGCGTGGGTGCCCCAGACCTGAAGGACACAGGTCTCTGTGGGGCTGGTGCTTACCCGGTTGTCCTGAGCCAGTGTTGCACGAGGCTCATACCCACAGTGTGCGCCAGGCCAGAGACAGCGGAGGACTCGAGGGCCAGGAGGCCCTGCTGCCCAGAGTCCCAAACCTGCATTTTAATGAGTGACTGTGCTGACTCCGGGAAGGCGTTCCTGCCTCCCTCATGCCTTCTTCCCGTCGGGGCTCCCTCAGGTTCCTGGGCCTGCCCTCTAGCTCACAGCCCCATTCGGGACCCACTGTCTCGCGTGCTCAACTGTCGTCACGCAGTGTTCTTGCAGGCCAGAGAGACCCTCACACGCTCAGGGTGCTTCTCACATATTGTTTCTCAGAGGGCAACTTTATTTCCAAGTTCTCATGGCCACTGCACTCATCCCCCACCGACAACCACGATGCGCTGCTCCAGAGGGTAGAGTCCCCGAAGCCTGGGAGACGGGGAATCTGACCAGGTGGCGCTGAACATGTCCTGGGCTAGCCCCTCCCAGGGGGACCTGGCAAAAGCCCAGTAAGCTCTTCCCTGTCCCTCCGCTCCACCTCTGAACAGCCATATCCTTGCGATATATTTAAAATAAAGGGCCTGCATGCTATTGCTGACAGGTTGTTTATTCCTAAAGACATCTGAAAACAGACATTTCTATAGGATGAGAGAAAAAAAAGAAGTGTGTATTTTAAAATATTTTTTAAAAAATTATTTCTATGAATATAAAAATGATCCCTTTGCAAGGAACCCTTGCAGGGACATCCCTTTACTACCCAGTGGTGGCAGTCCACGAGGATAGTTCTTTTTCACGACAGTTGCTATGTCATCCATGCTGGCCTTGAACTCATTGTGTAGCTTGGCTGGCCTCAGACTCAAGGTGATCTTTCTGCCTCACTCTTCTGAGTGCTGGAATTACCGGTGTGTGCCACCACACCTGGCTTCATGTGTATAATTATTGTGAAAAATAAACATATAATAGGATGCTTAATAAATATCTTTGGCTAAGGCCAGGTGTGGTGGTACATGCCTTTAATTCTGGCCCTTGGTAGGCTGAGGCTGAAGGTCTCCACGAGTTCAAGTCTACTCTGAACTGCATAGTAAGACCCTGACTCTAAATTTTTAAAAATGAGTGTCACTGGCTAATGAGTTTAACACCAAAATAAGCATGGCCCATGGCCTATCCCTACCCTTTCCCCGCCCTCTCTTGTTTGTCCTGAGATGCCAATAGGGTGCTGCTGCTCTGAGCTTCCCACCCATGGACACGCTCTGGCAGCCTGGCCTTTTTTTCTCTTTGAGGCAGGTCTTTCTCTGTACATCAGGCTGGCCTTGAGTTCACTGCATAGCTCAGGCTGGTCTCAAGTTCACAACGATCCTCCTGCCTCAGCCTTCCAAGTGCAGGGATGATGGGTGTGCGCCACCGTGCCTAGCTCGCCTGCCCTTCTTGTGCTCTGGCTGCCTCCCTGCCCGTGCCAGCCCCGCCTCCAGCCCAAGGCCCTGCCTCCTCATTCTGACCCGCCCCCCACCGCAGGTGAGTATGAGAACAAAGGGCTGATGATCATCGACGAGGAGGAATTCTTGCTGATCCTGAAGCTCAAAGACCTCAAGAAGCAGTATCGCAGCGAGTACCAGGACCTGCGCGACCTCAGGGCTGAGATCCAGTACTGCCAGCGCCTGGTGGATCAGTGTCGCCAGCGCCTGCTCATGGGTGCGCAGGCTGGGAAGGCTGGTGGCCCCTTGAGGCCAAGAGAGAAGGGGAAGGCCACAGCCTGAGATCTGAGTATCCCAAGAGCTGCTGAGGGGCAGGAGCAAGGGTTGGACAGGGCTTCAGGCTTGTGCTTCACAGGGTTAGGGGTTAAGATGGAGGACAAGGTGGAAACTCTAGAGCAGGAAGTGAACAAGGGGAGCTTTTAGCAGGTACAGCCCTAACCTGCCTCCTCCTGGGGGCTTCCCACACTTACCATGCTATCTCCCTCTTCCTGGCAGAATTTGACATCTGGTACAATGAGTCCTTCATTATCCCTGAGGACGTGCAGGCGGCCCTGAGGCTGGGCAGCAGCATCCGGCCAGGCATGGTACCTGGCCCCAGGATTGTGTCTCTTGTGAGTGGCATGAGGGTTGGGCCAGGAGAAGGTGATAGTTGAGCATAGGCCAGTGGCAACACCCCTTGTCCTGGGTTCCAGCCACAGCCATGGCAGTGTGGGGGCCACCTAGCCTCCTCCACATCTGGCCAGGGGAGGCAGGGGTTGGTGCCTCCTTAGTTGTTGGACAAACATCACTCTAGCCACTCCCACCCTCCCTGGGTGGCTTGTCCTGCCCAGGTGGCAGCTCCCTGGGTGTGAGGATCCTGACAGACTCAGGGGCTACAGGATTGTGAGATGTTGTGGGCAAATCCTCACAAGGTCAGGCTGACAGGACTGTCCTGGGTTGGGCCTTCCCCAGGGAGAAGATGACCAAGACAAGTTCAGCCAGCTTCAGCAGACGGTACTGCCTGAGGCTCCTAATTCCATTGCCTTCATCAATGCCAAAGTCAAAACAGAACAGAAGGTAACTTGGAAGGTTCATGTTGCAAAACAGCGGGACCTTGGGGGCTCCATGGCCAGGATACTCCAAATCTTACTCCCTGCTTTCCAGAAGTAGGGGCTGAATAGTGCCAGCCAAGGGAGATCCAGACTAGGCTAGATTGGCCAGAGAGGCACAGAGAGCCCTTCCTTCCCAGTGCACATCGAGACCCAGGAAGTTTATATTTGCAATCCCATGGATGAATTATTGGAATCCCATCAAGTTAATTCCAATCTGCCACACCCAGTGCACCCCATGGTGAGAATGACAAGACAAGACATATTTGTTGTTATGGGAGCCAGGGGCTTCCAAGTTCAGCCACAGAACAAAGGCCTCTAGCCTAGGCTGAGCCCAGGTTTTATTCATTCGTGAAGAAGGGTGTAGCTTGAGGATGAGTGACTGTGGAAATGGTGGAAAGCGAGTCAGTGCTGTGAGCTGGGCGAGGTAGGAGGTCTGCACTCAGCAAGGTGGGCAGGAGCAGGCTCTCTGCCTGCTGATGCGCAGCGTGGAGCCAGAGCCCAGGGGGTCTGTGCGCAGAGGCAGGCTTTACAATACTCAGAGAAGGATGTGCAGAAAGAGTAATCTGCATAACACAGCTGAGATAGTATCTAACGTCTTGGGGTTGGCGCTTCAGCACTCAGGTATAATCTTTCAAGCCCCAGGAAGTCCTAGCCTCTTATCTCAAGACTTGGCTCCATCTCAGTGGACAGCAGCATGTGGAGCTCTGCTCTTCATCCTGCCTCATCCTGGCTCACACAAGGGGACAGTGGGTGGGGATCTGGGGAAACATGCCTGCCCGTCTTCAAAGACTGGACCGATTTGTGTCGCTTGAGGCCCATTCAAGGGATAAGGAAAGTCCTAGCCCACTCTGCATGCATCAATACATGGAAATAGGGTCAGCCTTCACCAAAATGGAAACAGTGGCTCCTCCTTCAAGGAGAGCTGCCCACATTGTCATTCACAGAGAGACCCTGGCCACACCTGCACATAGTTGGCAAGTGCTTAGCCAGCCACATGTGGTTCACAGCTGAGAACAAGGTTCAGGTGTCCCCAGAGGCCACTATCTGTCAAGCAGAATGTGGGGTGAGGCTAGAGGACCACATGCAGCACAGCGGAGCCACACATACCAGCAGCCACAGGTTGGGTCTGTGACTCCTCTCTGAGCAGGGTGGGCAGGAGCAAACTCTGTGCCTGCCAACGTGGAGCCAGAGCCCAGAGGAGTCTGTGCACAGAGGCAAGTTTTACAGAGCAGATACACGCAGGCAGGGCAACGGACTGAGTGAGCTCATTCTTTTAAAATATTTTTTATAAACTAGCATGGTAGACCATGCCTCTAGTCTCTACTATTGCACTTAGGAGGCTGAAACAGGAAGTCACTTGAGCCCAGGAGTTTGAGTCCAGCCTGGGCAACAGAATAAGATTCTGGCCCTGCAGAAAGTTGGTTTTATATTTATTTATTTATATTTTCAAAAGATGACACTTTCAGATGTT